AGTGGTTTGCTAATGCATATTGAAAGTATTGGTCCTGTATTCTGTCTGAGCGAGGAGGACTCTGTGGAGTGAGTAGGAGGATTCACACATTCTGATACTGCTGCTGAGGATGCAACATGGGGGGGTTTTGCTTCTTAACAGAACTAAAAGTAAATCTGTTGTAAAATGCAACGTTACTGGAACTCCTGCACTGATTGCGGGAGTTCCTATTCACTCCCGTCTTGATTCATCTTTTTGAACAACCTTGGTTGATGTGAATTAGAAGTAAGGAGAGTCGAGAAATGGCTACAACTTTTGCCATTAGAGCCTGAGCCAGTGGGTAACATCGATATCTGCAGCAATACATGTTTTAGTTCCAGAAATGTATGTGTATTTGGCTTTAATATTTCTCAAATCAAGTTCAGTAGACTTTATTTTGTAAACTGTAGAATATCCTTGCTCAGACATATCTAAGTAAAAGAGAGAAGAAAATAGGCTTTTATTGTATACTTTGTAAGTATTGATATTGGAAATCCAGTGTCCATTGGACTATAGTTGGATGACTATAGTCATAGTGACTATATGGTGTGTACTGTAGAGCTGCCCAAACACTTCCTCCAGCAAGTTCCTACAGCTCCTTCTGGGGGGCCCGACACATGCTGACAGCTCCTTTTGAGTCCCCCCCCCCCCCACCAGGGTTTTCCACCAAATCCATCCTCTGCAGCTGCCCTGTGAGTAACCACCTCTGACTCACTTACATCTGTTTTTTCTCATACTTTGCGGTCATCACAAACACCTTGTGGCCATATCGGTCATTGGATTTCTTCTTTCCTATTATCGTGGGCTGATACAAAGCCTTCAATACTGCAGCTGATGTACCTAATTGGCAGTCAAGCTCAGAACCTTTTGTAACAACCCATTAAGGCTTTCATAGTCTACGATGAGGCTTTCATACAGCGCGCCAATGTCCAAAAGAGCACTCCACCTATTTAGCCATGCACTTTTGAAACACTGTCAGACTCATGATGGATAGTTTAAAAAATAGATATGAATAGAACACGAATTCATCTTCTAATCCAAAACCTGGCATCTACATTACCCACAATGCAACTCGACTACCAACAGTTTTGTCTGACGCTTTGTCACAATTTGTGTTCTTCCGTACTTGCACTTGCTATTGTGTTCAGTGCAGTGTACCCGGATAGTGTTCTAATAACGGTCATAACTTCTTACCCTAAACGGCCGCCATCTTGGCTACATACAGCGGAAAGGGAGGGACCACCAAACTTGTGAAAAAGGCAGCCGAGGAAGCTGCAGCTCCGGTGAACGCCAGAATACAGTTTATACATTTATCAAACAGGCCAGCAGATATTGTGGCGGCCGACAATCGTGGTTAAATGTTTCGCGATAATGCTCTCTCCGGTTACAATATGCCGTTACAAAGACAAAGAAGAAAAGGTCAAATGTTGCAGTCTTTATTGATGGAAAGTGCACAACACTACCCTGTGGAGATTCACGCACTACGCAATTAAGTACATCATGTACACAGTGTACTTAAGTGTAACGGAAGTATTCGAATTGAGACAAAGCATGAGTTTCAGGTGTGATATGCTAGTAGAGGCTAATGTAGCCTCCAGCAGTTGAGGAGTGTACTGCAGAGGTCAGGTGAGTTCACTAGTGCAAGTTTTCATGAAATTTAAAAAAAGCACCAGGAACTCTTCTGTTACTCAATTTCATCATTTCAATTCATTGCTCCACTCTTTTATTTCTTTTATTTTCTGACTTGTAGTCTTCAGCCCCAACCGACGTTATGGCTATACTAATGCTAATTTAGCTAGAATATGGATAGAACACCTTATAGAGCATATGTCAGCATGAAAGTAACCCTTAATGACAAAACCCAATTAATTACAAAAGCAAGTGCAACAGAAGCTAGCGTGGAGAGGGAGGACACTTGATAGGATACTTGATATTTGCTATCTTGGTATTAAGTATAGACTAGATGACAGAGGGAGGCCTATCTCCCAAAATGCATATTGTTGAGACTGAAACAAAACCCAGATCCCTTTTGAGGAAATCAGCAACCGACGGCACGAGATTTGACTAGAGCATTTGAATATGCAAATCCAGGAGGGCACCTCTCACGATCTGGGATTCATTTAGTCCGAGAACAACTGCGTCACCTCGTCACGTTGTGTCTGTGGAAGAAAGACGACACTGATCAAAGTTACACAGGAACTGGGGGGGGAATAAAGGGGCCGAATGTTCCTGTAGCACATCATCTTTTTACTTGCCGTTGCATCACCTCGCAGAGCTGCTCTGCGCCTCAGATATTGGTCCATGTGAAGGTGTATTTTCTACAGCTTCCGTCATTCTGACACCACGATTCAAGACGGGGAATTAAGGCAATTACAGTTCAGAAAAACAAACTCTAATTTAAAAAAATAAAATAAGTGTTTCCTTCGACTAGCACTAGAACATTTTCAAGAAGGTGTAATAAGATTATTTGAAAAAGCAGCAGTAACTGCTCTCTTTTAAGGCCTTCACACATCTGGGCCGTGACAAATATACAAAACTACATGTAAAATGAGAAATACTTTGCCTGCGAATATTTCGCATCAAAACTATTCATACCGGCAGTGGAATCTGCGACAGTTTTTCAATTAAAGGTTTGAATAGATTTGCGCAGGTCAACTACCCAGATCCTATTGACCCAGAGCAGCTGGTCTGTCTGAGGTAAACTGTTGTACAGAATTAGCTACTGTCAGCTATTTTATTGAGTGTCCTTTTTGTGAAGTGCAATGAATTACCCAGTGTATATGACTGTACAGGGCTTTTATTGTGAAATGTAAGAATGGAAGGTGTGGATCTGGTCTGCTTTTGTTGGACACTGTAGTGTATGTTTTGAATATGTCAGTTCCACACTGGGTGATTGGATGAGGCTTTTATTCACAGTGCGAAAGCTCCAAACGCATAACATTACAAATTTACATTAAAAATATTACGTTTTTTCACCACATAAATATAATCTATGTGAAAGTATTCATGACAAAAAGCAACAGTTGCGAATCAATCGCACGCAAAACCTTTTTCCCTTGTTCAGACACAGGAAGATGATGAATTGTTATTCCTGGTTGTTTTTTTGCATATCAGTGAGCTCGACACCAGACCGATTTGAATCTATTAAAAATCAAGATGTGGGTGGCAATGCAGACATCTGGAACCAGGTTCACTGTTTTAATTCCAAAATCCTGATTAAAAACTAACATACCTGTGAAAACAGCCTTTAGTATCCAATCCTCGTTTCCACCGTATTGTGAAATACTTCAGTTTTCACAGTTGTTCCACTTTGTTTTTGGCCTGTTGCGTGTTTGTCTCCTTTTTTGGGAGACTGGTGTGTGCTGTGATGAGGGTGGAGGGACTGGCAGGACATCTGGCTAACTGACTGTAAACTGCTGTGTTACTCCCCATCAAGAGTCATTAAGACCCCAATTATAGTTAGCACCCCCCAGTTCTCTCACACACACACCGTGACTGACACCGGGGTCTGCATTTAGGTTTCGCCAGTTTGAGAGTGTGCAGGGGAGAAATGTGTTTCGTCTTCAGCAGTATTCCTAAAATTTGACATTTATTTCATTTTCATGTATTGATTTTAATAGCTTGGTTAGAAATCTATCCATGTATATTAATTTCAATGAGCCCACTGCGGCGATGAGTCGTGGGCCTTAAATATATATTCATTTTATCTGATAAGTATTATTAATGTTAATTTTTTTACTTGTCCCTGGCCTCCTGTCATTTTGCAAGAGTCCATTTTGAATCCTTTTTAAATCCCGCAAATTCTCTCCATCTGTTGAGTGGACGACCAAGGTCGACTCTTGTTTTTCGCCCGTGCTCTATCACTGTCCCTTTTCAAGCTTTTTTTATTTTTTTTGTCAGTTCCTTCCTTTTTCTCTTTGCTGAGATCCTGCCCCAGTATCAGCCATCACCACAAAATGTAAAAGATTTTAAAGTACAGCTCCCTGCCAATCTTTGCTTTTGTAAATATTAACACATGCTCTTCTGGTCTTAATGCCAGAAATTGTTTCGTCTGACTTTACGTGGAATCGGAGCCTGTGACATTAAGAACAACTATATAGAAATAGACAATCTTCTTCTCTTCTTATTACAATCTTCTGCTTATGTAGGTTGTATAGAGGCATCAGTATTAAACTGAGACTGTTTAACAACCCATTGAAAAGTCATTGCAGCAGGTTTAATTAATCTTATCTCAAGCGTTCATTGAATAAAATTACATTTATTTTTGCTCACAATTTGTTAGTAATTTTAGTTGTACTTTTACGTTTTGGGTTGCTATTTGATTTTCTGAATTATCTGCTCACAGAGAGAAACCCACTCTCATACAGGCAGTCCGACATCATCACGTCCCATCTGAAGACAGTCTGCTCACACTACACGCTACACACACGCACACACACAGCTGGAAGGCTTTCTATCGTGGAGAGATAACTACAGGCTGAGAACAATAGAGCATCTCTCCTCCCATCTGGTGAAGTGGGGGATGAAACTTCATTTACATTTTCAGATCCCACCACCTCAGGGTGTGTGTGTGGGTGTAGGGGGGAGCGAGATTCATTTCAGGGTGAATTTAGGATTATGAATTAACACGCCGCAGTGCTGAAAGACTTCATTTACAGCTAATTGAGTGTATTGGCTCATTGAAATGGCTGTTGTGTTTAAACTGGCCTGCCTGCCGGGCCCATGGGCTGTGTGTGTGTGTGTGTGTGTGTGTGTGTGTGTGTGTGTGTGTGTGTAGGCGTGTGTGTTTGGGTCTGGAAAAAGCAAAGGGTGGTTACCTATATATTAGTGAACAGCTGTAGATTAAATGTGTGAAATTAGATGTAGAGATTTTAATAAAATGTGACTCTCTCTTTCTCTCTCTCTCTCTCTCTCTCTCTCTCTCTCTCTCTCTCTCTCTCTGTCTCTCTCTCTCTCTCTCTCTCTCTCTCTCTCTCACACAGGTGAGAAGCCCTATAAGTGCTCATGGGAGGGCTGCGACTGGCGTTTCGCCCGCAGCGACGAGTTGACGCGACACTTCCGCAAACACACCGGAGCCAAGCCATTCAAGTGCAACCACTGCGACAGGTACAAACACTTACACGGCAGCATCCGCTGGACACAAACGCTTCAACGTACACACGGTGACCTTAACATTCGCAGCACGTCGTTGCCCGTTTTACCTGTCGAGGACCTCTGTTTAACCTTCGTTTTGTCCCCACGAGTAGAAGTCCGACAACCAAAAAAAAGGTGATCTCCTTGTCAAGTCTCTAAAACAGGGACATTAGAATGGGATTCGGATCAGCCAGCGCATCACATTTTTGGGCAGTTTTTGTCAACATATCGGGCTGCAACTACCGATTTTAATTGGCAATACTCCTTCTTTCACAGGAAATATTTTGAGCCATGACAGCAGAAAAAGATGAGGTGTAAATATTCAAATTAAGGATGGCTAGGTCCTTGTATCGCAAGTCAAAATGTGTGCTATAAAAAAAAGAGCCATTTCGAATTCATCATCTTTAAAATCTTTAAAGAAAATTGCAGAAAATGAGCCCATCACAATTTCCCATCACAATTTCCAGGTCT